AGAGACCAACTCGACGAGTTGGCACTATGAGAAGAAACCCTAGATTTACAGGTTTGTGTCCTATTTAAAGGGCCTTAAGCCCTCATTTCCGCCTCACCATCCATTCAACTCCCCTGTGTGAAACCCTAACTGATCATATTGACTTGTGTGAGAAAAAGAGGCTAAGTTGAGTGGTTTTGTGCATCTTTGGAAGGAGATTTGGAAAGATTGGCATGTTTGATCAAGGAGGGGCTGTAGATTCAAAGTTCTTCAATGATTAGCTTTAGTGCAAAGGTAAAAAGCTTCTATCTTGACCTTTCCTTTGTGAGATTTTAGTTTAGGGAGGGTTTTAGGGTTTTCTCCCATCTATCTTTAGATAATGAGTTATTTGAGCATATCATGAGGTTGAAACCTTAGATCTAGACTGTAGGAGGACTTGAGAGCCCAAAGATCCGAGCTTTATTGAGCTAGAGATGAGCTTTTTTGCATCTAACCCTTGTTGGAGTTTGTATTGACATTATGAGCCTAATGTGCCATGCATGAACGTAAAAGCTCACAGCTTTACATGACATTCGAGCCTTAGGAGGCTAGATCTGGAGTTTGGGGTTGTAGATTTGCCTTAAAACGTCTAAATGATAAAACAGACTAAATGGACTCGCCGAGTTAATGAGATGACTTGATGAGTCGACTAGTGTTTTCCCTGATGAGTCTATACATGGGTAACTCGGTGAGTTTATGAGACAACTCGACGAGTTAAGTTGGGTTTTCGTGACATTTCTTTATGTTATTCTGATGAAATAAGAAGCTTAAGAAGGTTATTTTAGTTGCAAGGAATGATGCTTCAAGTTTGTATTCATCAAAGGCACTACATTTTTGGACAATTGTAAGTATAAAGTTCCAATCTATCTATCTAGTTCCTTAGATCTTGTTATTTGGGAATTTTGGCACTTTTGGTCCATTTTATGGGTGATTTCCGAGTTAATTGGTCTTAAACATCTTTTTATTAGTTTAAAATGCTTCTTGGACCTCTTGGACTAGGAAAGTTGTGATCTTTTGCCTTCTTTTTTAGCTATGCATGTTATCTTGGTCCTTTGGTTCATTTTAGTGTATTAAAGTTTAGATCTTGGAAGCTTGTGGCATTATTATGGATAAAGTTGGAGATTCTATCCAACTAGACATCTTGTTGATTCAGATTTGGAAGTGGAAGTGTAACGCCCCGTTCCCAGTATGTATTGAGTTGTTAAGTTTTCATTTGGTAAAGATACTCGACGAGTGTTAGCCCTAACTCGTCGAGTAGAGGCTAGTTTGGATGTGGGGTTTAAGTGATCTACTCGGCGAATCCAATCCTGGACTCGGCGAGTGGGTCCATCAGGAGGAAACCCTAATCGTTAGGGTTTACACCCTATTTAAGCATCATATTCAGCCTCCACTCTAGTATTTATCACCTCCCAACCCCACTCTCGAAACCCTAATCGATCCTGTGCATGCTTGAGCCATTTCTTTGCACTTTGTGTGGTTTGAAGCGAGGAGAAGGAAGGAAAAGTGCAAAGACACAAGAAGAGAGCAAAAGATCTAGAGTTTTTTGTAGCATCTCATACTTGTTAATACATTGGCTTCTATCCACTTAGATCTTCATGTATGCTTGTTTATTATCACTTTTTGGGTCATTCCGAGATTTGGACCTTGGGGGATGAAAGGACTTCAGATCTGGGCATTACTGAGCTTTAGAAGCTCAAAGTTGTCACCTTTATTCGGCCATAGCCCCATGCCATGACTTAGACCTCCTTTCTAGCTTGTAATGAGTGTTTTGGTCTTATATCATCATGCATGCATGTAAAGTTAGCAACTTTACGTGTTATGCTAGTCTAAGGAGTCCAGATCTATGAATTAGAAGCATTAGAATGGATTAGAATCGACTGAATGGATATGTTGCATGGAGGACTCGGTGAGTTGTTCTTGGACTCGGTGAGTGGGGTCATGAACCCTAACCCCTTTTCTGGTTGTGAGTGAAACCATTGAGTTTAGGAGACGACTCAGTGAGTTAGACAAGATTTAGACTCGGAAACTGAAGAACTTGACAAGTCCAAGGAAGGACTCGACGAGTTAGGGTCGAGATGTCCCGATGTTATGACAGGAAGAACTCGAAGAGTATGGGAAGGGACTCGACGAGTTGACTTAGTTGACTACGCCCGAGTAGTGCATGAACTCAACGAGTTGGGGTTGACTGAGAGTTGACTTTGACTTTGATCTTGACTTTGACTTTGACCGGGACATTGACTTTGACCAAGGGTAAAATAGTCAAGAATTATCAGATATCGATTAAATTAGTCAAAGATTCTTCACTCGAGTTTCAACAGTCAGCCTTACGAGGTGAGTTTCCTTTTAGTAAGAACGAGTCAAAGGCACCAATGCCGGCCCGTTTATGTATGTTAGTATATGTCGAGCTTAGGCCCGATGCCCGGGTTAGCCCAATGCAACTTAAATGTTCCGGACCTCGATCCGATGCCGGGGCGGTCCCGAGAAGAGTATATGTATGCTTGATGTCTTTGTGAATCATACATGTTATGTATTATGTATTCCAGGGTAAGCTCGATGCAGAATTAACTTACATGTTATGTGTACCGGACTTCGGTCTGATGTCGGGGCAAGCCCGAGGAAGTCTATGATGTTTATATGTCAAATGTTATATGTTATGTGCTTGTTGCTATGATCTGTATTCCAGACTCCGGTCTGATGCCAGGCGGGGACCGATGCCAGACTTCGGTCCGATGTCGGGCAGGGCCCGATGCAGTGGGCAAGGCTCAGTATGTGTTATTGTATGGTATGTGGTAGTTTAGGGGAGCTCACTAAGCTTCGTGCTTACAATTTTCAGTTTTGGTTTCAGGTACTTCCACTAGCAAGGGGAAGGGCTCGGGATGATCGCATGTCACACACCGTAGTTTCAGCCTGAGAAATTCTTAGACTCTGATGTTTTCTTATTTGATTTTGATACAGTATTTGACATGATATTTTGAGATACATGGTTCTTGATTTTCTTTATGATGATGGATGATTTATGGTTTTATTAATGATTCAAAAACAAAATTTTTTGGACCGTATTTTCGGGATGTTACAGGAAGACTTGGACTTAATGGATTAAATTGAGAAAGATGCATTTTGGGTCCCTTTGAGACTTAAAATCTAGATCTTGGTGATTTGGACCTTCATAATCGATAAAGTTAGAAACTTTATCCATTAAGACCTTGGAAAGGATCAGATTTGAGCTTTGGAGCTCTTGAAATCAGAAGAAAATGGATTAAGCTCGGTGAGCTGTCCACACCAATCACTACGACATGACGACTAGGGGATTAGCGACTATTTTGGCAATTTTGTGCCCACGACGTGGCCAAAGAAGGCCATAACATGAAGGGTTGTTGTTTGGCAATTTTGACCTTAGCTTTTATTGTTGACTCTTTGACCAGTTTGAATTTTGGTCAACCTTGGGTAGAATTGAACATTTGACTAAGGATTGGTTTTGGTTTGGCTTTAGGGAGATTCGGTTAGATGTTATGTTACCGTGGTAGCTGTTGGGTGTCTGTGAATAGTTCAGGGGAGTCTCTTCACTGTACTCATGGGTCGAAGGCACCAATATTGGCCTACTGGATTATGGTTGTATGATGATATTTATCTTTGTGACAACTACTAATATGTCTGTGTGTGCTATTGTCTATGTGACTAATACTGGTATGATTGTATGTTATATGCATGGAACCAATATGGGCTCGAAGTCATTATGGACTCGGGGTTAATACGGATCTGGGGGTTAATACAGACCCAACACAACTACATGTTGTTATATGGAGTCATTATGGACTCGGGGTTGATACATACCCGACACAACCACATGTTGTTATATTTATATATGTGTGTTGTATGTCGTATTTTAGGAAACTCACTAAGTTTTGTATTTTGGGAAACTCAATAAGCTAATTTAAAAGCTAGCTTTAAAAAAATAAATTAATATACCCATTAAGTAATTATAAAAATACATTTTTAAAATTTTTTTTTTATGTAATTTTATATCCGTCAATTAGTTTTTTCAAACTTTATTTTTTATCAACTAGCTTTTTAGCTATTTTTTTTTTGTGCAAAACATAAATTAGTATTTTTTTTTTCATAAATTGGACCAAAATATTCTGAATTTTCTAGAGATTTCTTATTAAAAAAAATATAAATTTTAATTAATATTATTAATATTTACTCAAATATTATAAAACCTAACTTTTATCCTTCTCAACACATTGCATCTATACGTACACACTCGTAGTGATCGTGGTTGGTTTTCCGTCCGTTTTCTGCTACAACGTATCAGCACTTCACCATTTACAAACTTTGCGGCGTGTAAGAAAGCAACAGAAAGGGATTGTTGATCGTTGCTTAGAGACATCGATCCCGAATTCTCCTTCTACTCGCACACTGCACAAGCTTCATTCATTTCTCAGATGCCGTCTTAATCCTAATCGTATAAGGTAATTTCTTCTCGATTTTAGTTATTAGCCATGCTTTTAGGCGTCATTGTTTGATTATCGCCTACCTTTTTTCATTTGTCTTATGTAATTCATTGTGATTTTTTTTCCAGTGCCCTAATTGCATCAGTCAATTTAATTCTACATCGTTTCGTTTTTTTTTTTTGGTTTGCTTATTATATGTGCCAGTTACCAATTTGCTGTATATTCATCGATAATTCGTGTTATATATGCCACGAAACAATAGAAATTCTCTTTGTAACCCTAGATCTTATGTTTTTCTCTTTTTTTAAATATCTGTGTTGATTAACTGTTAGTTGCTCAGGAATCAAAGGGCGAGTTTCTCAGTTGATAATGGTGCTCAAGTCCCAAGACCTTTTATCTGATGCGACTGTGATAAGAACTCCAAATCAAAATGGTAGCTGTTCCTCGAATGGGGCTTCTGTTCTTCCCCTCAAATGGAAGCCTCGCAGTGTATCTGCTGTTAGGGATTTTCCGCGAGGGTGTGGATCTATTATGCAGCCAGTTAATACTGGGATAGCAGAAACACAGGTTGAATCTTTACCCCATGACATCTCAAAATCTACAGAAGATGGAAAGATGGAGTTGATTGTGGAGTGTCAGAAGGAGAAAGGAGACAATCTAGTCATGTTGAAGGATGAAATCAGTAGCTCTGTTACTGGAGTGATTGAGGTGGATGATAATGGTGGTAGTGTTAATGCTATCAAGGAATCCACACGGAAGTTGAAATTTCCTCAAAGAAGAGTTTCAGCCGTTCGTGAGTTCCCTCCTTATTGTGGCTTGAATGCAACTGAACCTACAAAAGAAGAACGCATAAGAATCAATGGAAAGAGAAGATTTGGAATTGAGGATAAGGGTAGTGTAAGAAATGAAAAACTGATAGATTCTGTAGTGGTTGGTAGTGAAGAGTCCAATGGCAATGTCAAAGATGATTCTCTCCATAAAACTCAAATAAAAGAAAGCAACGAGTCTCTAATGGAAAATCAAGATCCAATGGGTGATAAAAGTGATAAACAATCAATGGAGAAAATGATAGTGGTTGATGAGGAATCAAACATAAACGTTCAAAAAGGGAAAGCCCTGAAGCTTAAAGATGATTTAGACAACGAATCACAAATTGCATCTCAAATCATAAAGAAAGTATGCCAGGATCTTGTGGTGTACACATGTGACAACGATCTGAAAAAAAGATCTGTAATTGATTTATCTGATGAAGATTCAGAAGAAAATCTTGAAGATGAAAGCTTTCACAATTCTAAACCACAAGTAGTGATGCCAATCAGATCACTTGCACCAATTCAAGAAAACATCAAGAAAGTCAAAGGTGAAAGTAAGAGAGTCAGCCATAAGAAACACCTTAAAGATGACACCAATTCTCCGGTATTTATAAGAGGAGACAGGAGCGTTGTTATAGGCCTAATGGCTCCATCAGTTGTTCCCTTCATAACACCCAAGAAGTCAAAATCAGAAAAAGTCAAAGTTGTTGAGGAGTCGAGTGCTTTTACCACCTCCATAACACCCAACAAGTCAGAATCCGAAAAAGTCAAAGTTGTTGAGGAGGCAAGTACTCATACCACTTCCATAACACCCAACAAGTCAAAATCGGAAAAAGTCAAAGTCGATGAGGAGTTAAGTACTCATACCACCTCCATAAAACCCAAAAAGTCAAAATCGAAAAAAGTCAAAGTTGTTGAGGAGTCCGATACTTTTACCACCTCCATAACACCCGAGAAGTTAGAATCGGAAAAAGTCAAAGTTGTTGAGGAATCAAGTGCGCATACAACCTCCGTAACACCCAAGAAGTCAAAATCGGTAAAAGTCAAAGTTCTTGAGGACTCAAGTACTCATACCACCTCCATAACACCCATGAAATCAGAATCAGAAAAAGTCAAAGTTGTTGAGGAGTCAAGTGCTCATACCACCTCCATAACACCCAACAAGTCAAAATCAAAAAAAGTCAAAGTTGAGGAGTCAAGTGCTCATACCTCCACAACACCGATCAAGTCAAAATCAAAAAAAGTCAAAGTTTCTAAAGAGTCAACTACTTACACCGGTACACTTGATATTGTTGTGAGAACCGAAGAACCAGTTGCTCAAGAAACCGAAGAGCAAGGAGACGAGTTTCCCAATTCCCATGAAGTTGAAGTTGAAGTCGCAGTCCCACCTTTTGGTCCTCGGAGTTCCAATTCCGCCCGGAATAGAATCAGGGAAACCCTTCGACGCTTCCAAGTTTTATGTCGCAAACTTCTACAAGGCGAAGAAGCAAAAATAAGTGAAGATGACGAGTCAAAACACGTGTTGACCGGAAAACGAGTTGACCTCACGGCAAAATCAATCCTCGAAAAACAAGGCAAAATACCCGACCGAGGCAAAAAAACATACGGTTCCATTCCAGGGATAGAAGTCGGAGACGAATTCCAATACCGAGTTGAACTTGCCTTAGTTGGCCTCCATTGGCTTCTTCAAGGCGGCATCGATTACATCCGACACGGAAACAGGAAAACCCCGGTGGCGGTTTCCGTCGTTGCTTCCGGCGGTTACGACAACGAACTCAACAAACCGGAATGCTTAATCTATTCCGGTTCCGGCGGAATCGGAAAAGACAAACAAATCTTAGACCAAAAGCTCGAAAGAGGCAACATCGCTTTGAAAAACAACATCAACCTCAAAATCCCCGTTCGTGTCATCCGAGGGTATAAAGGTAAATCCACCGAACCCTCATCAAAATCTCTAACAACCACTTACATATACGACGGTTTATACACCGTCGAAAAATACTGGCAAGAAAAGGGCCCACTCGGGAACCTAGTATTCAAATTCGAATTAAAACGGATCCCGGGTCAACCCGAACTCGCGATCCGTGAAGTAAAATCCAAAAAATTCAAAACCCGCGAAGGCCTCTGTGTCGATGACATCACAAACGGAAAAGAAAAAATCCGTATTTCAGCGGTTAACACAATCAACGACGAAAACCCGCCGTCTTTCAACTACATTACGAAAATCATGTACCCGGATTGGTACCGCCCGGTGCCGCCAACGGGATGCGACTGTGTCGGGCGGTGCTCCGACAAGCGGTGCAAATGCGCCGCCAAGAACGGCGGTGAGATTCCGTATAATCACAACGGCGCGATCGTGGAAGCGAAACCGTTGGTTTACGAATGCGGGCCCGCGTGTAAGTGCCCACCTAGCTGTTACAATAGGGTGACACAGCACGGGATGAAAATCCAGTTGGAGATATTTAAAACGGAAACACGCGGGTGGGGGGTTAGGTCGTTGAATTCGATTTCTTCCGGAAGTTTTATTTGTGAGTATGTAGGGGAGCTTCTGGAAGATACGGAAGCGGAAAAACGAACGGGTAATGATGAGTATTTGTTTGATATTGGGCAGAATTATAGTGATATGGGTACGGGTACGGGTGTGGGTATGGATACGGGTACGGATGGGTTTACGATTGATGCGGCGAATTATGGGAATGTGGGGAGGTTTATAAATCATAGTTGTTCGCCGAATTTGTATGCGCAAAATGTGTTGTATGATCAAGAGGATAAAAGGATGCCACATATTATGCTTTTTGCTGCGGAGAATATTCCACCCTTGCAGGAGTTGACTTATCATTATAATTATGCGGTGGATACGGTTCATGATTCGGATGGGAATATAAAGGTTAAGAAGTGTTTTTGTGGGTCGACTGAGTGTACGGGGAGGTTGTATTGAGGTGAAAGTGGTGAGTTTTTTTTTTTTTTTTTTTTTTTTTTTTTTTTTTTTTTTTTTGTTATTTAGGTATTGTACTTTTGATGTGTGTTGCTACTATATGGGCTTTTACTAGCTTTTGCAATGCTAGATCTTATGAGTATATATATATATATATGATATGTTCATGTTGTGTTTGTGTATGTGGGCATGGAGTATATGGTGGAAAAATGTGTAGATTTATGAGTATAAAATGGGTGTGTATGTTAGCTTTTTGAAAAAACATAAGCTACACCTATGTGCTAAATATGTGAAATAGTAAACTTTTCTATTGAAATATATAATTTTAACAGAAAAGTTGTAGTAGAGTTTTGGAAAAGCATCACATCCCACATTACTACTCAACTGAAAAGTTAGGGGAATAAATAGATAAAGACATTTTTTTTAATAACAAATGTAATCTACTTTTAAACTATTCATGAGACTACCTATGTTTCAAACGAGATTTGAACTTTGACCTCAAGAAAAGAGAAACTAAAGAAAGGAGGAACTCTTTGGACATGTAAAGGAGTGTCCTAAGACATTATTTCATATATATTTATGCAATAGTCTATCTTTAAGATTCAACTCTTATCTACATGTTCTTCCAAATAACTTTAATTATAGCACATCTAAATATATAATATATGGTTTCATAAGGAATAAGAAGTACCAAAGGACTCTAGTCCAACTACATCAGATGTTATCTTTCCTCATTCAGGTTTCAAGTCTTATCCGGAACATATGTAAAATTATGTGTGATTTATGAGTAAATTAGATTTATCATTACAAGATAAAAAAAGGAACAAAATATATTATTATATATCCTATGCACATCAACACACGATAAACATTAAAAAAAATGTGTAATTTTATCTCGTGTGATCATACTTCATTTTTGTAGGGATAAAGGATACTATATAAAATCAATTACATAACAAACACATATCCCAACAAAACATTTTTATCATGAAAAGAAATTCAATAAACACATAGTTGAACTATCAAAAATATTTTGGATTTTTTTAACTACCTTCCCTATTACAAATCCATATGACCAACATTTAATTTAATTTTTTTTAAAACAATGATGCTCTCAAAGTAGTTGTGCTTTCCTCAAATCCGAAAGCACTCCTCTATCTTCACTCCCCCTTTCATTATAAATAACCTACAAAAACAACAAAAAAAAAAAGTAAATAAAACAATTGATAATTTACTTTTATGTAAAAAAAAAAAAATCAATACCTTATCAATGATTCCATATTCAACAGCCTCACTAGGACTAAAATATTTGGGACGCCTTATATCCTCTTCAATCTGCTCTGTTGTCTTCCCTATATGCTTTGCATAAAGTTTCACCTTCAATCACACCATCAAAACACACACATTTAAAAAATAGACACATTTAGGCGTTGACTAACTGGACAAAAGTCAAACCAAAATACCAATTCAGTCTTCACATTCTTTATTTCCTTTCTCATAATCTCAACATCAGTTGCTTGACCTTGAAATCTTGCAATTGGCTAACAAAACAATTAACTAACATCAATATTTTTTTAACTTAATAGTAAAAACTTCAATTAAATGTTTAATAAAAAAAACACCTGTTTTATCATGATGGTTGATGAGGGCAATGCTGACCGATTTCCCTTTGCTCCAGCAGCCAATAGTAATGCAGCTTCTCCCCATGCATTCCCAACACATAGTGTAAAAATAGGTGGCTTCACATATCTGCAAAAGGGTATTTAAAAAAATTAATCTTTATTGCATTCAGATGTTAATGATGTAATAAAGAACTATTGTAATGATATTTGTATGTGTAATAGCATAAATTCATAAAGACTTGCTACCTCATAACATCATATATTGCAAAAGCTTCTGTTTCATACCCCAACTTTTCACCACCCTGGAAAATGTAAAAGAAAATCAAAAGTAAGATTGTATTAAACATTTATTCATTCTTAGTGTCTGTTTTGTATGATGGAATGGAATGAGCAAGGTAATGGAATGGATCAGTACATTCCATTTCATGTTTAGTTGGCTTGAAGGAATGGAATGAGTCATTCATAAGTGTTCTTTGTTGGGTATAATTAGAATCAAATATATATATAAATAATCTTGGATAATAAAGTGAATAATAATACCTTGGTAGTTCCAGTAGAGTTTATGTAAAGGTATATGGGCTTTTTGTCATCCTCGTATTGAAGGTAGAGAAATTCTGCCAATATGAGTTCAGTTACAGAGGGGACTAGTGACATACCCAAATACACAATTCTGTTCTTGTATAAATAAGATGCTAAATCTGGAGGTGGTTGTTCCCAAGCACTTCCCCTTGAAAAAGGCATCACCTATCAAGATACAAATCAAATGAAATATACGTATATGCATACATGAACACATATACTGAATCAGTATCAAGCACCATAAGCAAGATATCCCATATTTTATAACAAGAAGAAGAAACTGAATAGGCTATTCAAGTAATCTATTTGTGAATCCTTATTAACTATGCTCTAATACATCCAAGAATCAACAACACATGCAATGTTAGGTTAAAAAAATGCTTTTGATTTCATTGTTCTTGGAAAGATAGGAATAGAATATGTACATGGCCTTCCAAACCCTAGGAATGTTAAAAATACTAATATGGAGTTTGGGGGTGTTGTGAAGTAATTATGGTCGCATCGATTTTGAATCCAACAAACAGTTTGTCAGGCTATAACCCTTTATGCTGGAATCGAGCTCATAGCTTGCGAGAAAAAAATTGAAAGGGGAAAATCAATTTCGGTTCTCTTCGGTTGATTTATTTCATTCGGTACTAATCTATTACCATGAAATTTTGAAAGGGTGTCTTGTATTCATCAAATATTTAACCTAATGAAAACATTAGATTGAAATTTAGAGGAGAGACGGAAACAGGGAAAATACCATGGTAACACCGAGTCGTTTTCCATGAGAGCTAGAAGACGGGTTGAGGGATGCAGGTCGGATCTTATGACCTGAGAAGTCGCTGGAAATACTGCTGCCGACGAACGGGGAGGTAAAATTGGTGGATAAGGAAGCTTTAATAGACGAATTAGAAGATGATAAAGAAGCGGTTACAGTTCGATTACTTCGTGAATTGGTTTTTGAAACTATGCGTGCGCTGGGGAAGAAGTGGGAAGCCATTGTCGCTACCTCCATAACTGTTTCTGCAGCTCAGCTGAGAAAGGAGCAAAAAAATGGTTTGGAGATGAGGGAAGAGTTTTGGGGGAATAGGCTAAATTATTTGGAGCAATTTGACCCGATCCATCTGGACTGAAGTCTAAATTGCGGGTCAAATAAATTGTTTGGATACGAACTACATATATATGTTCCATATTAGTAAATCATATATTTTAATTTTAAAAATGTGTATGTATGTATGTATGATGTATCCATCAAATCCATAACAATATCGAATTAGATCATATTTAATACAAGTAAAAATAAAATATCTTTTTTTTTTTTGGAAAAATAAAATATCTAATAAATCATAAAACTATATACCGTGATTAGTACATCAATCATATTTTGTAGAAAAAATATCACATATCTCGTTTAAAAAGCAATTTACTTGTAATTTCAACAATAATTATCATATGACTATAATATATTATTTTGAAAGTATATAAAAAAAAATATTTCTATATTATTGTGCACAATGTTTTAAAAACCTGTTTGTTAGTTGAACCAGTCTGGTAGTCAATTCCCGGTTTGATCGTCGGTCAACCCGACTTCCATAATTTTTATATATTTTCTTTTTCTTTACATACATACATATATATAAGCAAGAATTTTCCTACATCTGACAGTAGTGTGTGTCGACCTTCGAGTTGTGTACACTTCTTTTACCATGATTGATCGAACTGTTTAATTGGTTTTGAAAATGAGTTGTTTTTTTAACAGGTTGAATGAAATATAACTATTCAGTTCCAATAAATAGGTTCAAACGATTTTCTATCGATTCTACCATGTTGCTTTAACCTGGTTCTTGAAGAAACCATTCGGTTTGATTCGGTGTAGATATTGGCATAAAATCGATTGTTATTGAACCACTTTCGTCTCTAGTTCCAATCAAACCAGTTCAATTGGCCGATTCGAATTGGTTTTTAAAATGTTGATTGTGCATGTCATTTCCATGATCAATTTCATTCTAAATGTTGGCACAATGTCTTTTAGTTAGGGGCATGCATGAGTTGGTTTTTGGGTGAAACCGAACGGTGCACGATAATTTTAGTTTTTGGGTTTTGAAATCCATTGGGTTCGGTTTTAGGGTTCATGAGTCGTTTCTTCATGTTTAGGGTTTAAACCATGGGTTGATGGGTTTTGGGTTTAACTGTAGTTTTTGGGTGAACTCTCCTTGCATATAATAATCTTCTTGTATTGTCCGACGTTCCTTCGATTATCTGATACAAAGCCTTTGGTAATATATTTCATCCAATCAACTATCATCAATAGTAATTATGTATTATGATCAAAATAGTGAGATCATGATATAAAAAAAAAGCATGATTTGAGATTAAGCCTATACCATTAGGCTATTAGGAGTGTTTGTGTGATCATGGGCATAATGATGAGGTAGCAATGTTACCTCATGATGAAAACCACCGTCAACTTGAGTAAGCACATTGTGGTTGTCGAGTGAAGTGAGGAGCTCCATGGAGCTTCACAATCTCTCTTTTGTCCCTTCCTCACTTTCTCTTTCTCTCTCTCTCTCTCTCTCTCTCTCTCTCTCTCTCTCCCCCCTCTTTTATTTTATTCCTCTATATCTCTTAGATTTTATTTATATAAAAATGATAACATACATTGATGGGTATTTCCTAGGGTTAGTATGGATATAGTGAAGTTGATGCGGCATTAAGATGATAGTAAATACCATATGGAGTACTCATAATAGCCTTATAAACCCAAGTATATGGTTTTTCGATTTCATAATGATATTTAGGACCTATGGGAGAAACATG